CTTCCCTCTCTCTCTTTCTCTCTCCTTGTGAACCCACATCTCGTTGCCTGGTAAGAACGCTAAATATCAGGACAATGACAGACTGACAGCTCTGCTGCTGTGGCCGTATGCACATGTACGAGTTCTGCTCCTTATGGAATATTTTGGACTATTCCGCTTGTTTTATGGGGATTTAATTTTCCTGTTTTTTCAAGGACAGACCTGGATTTCATTTTTCTTTTTTTTTATTTTCCTGGACAGTGATAGCACATGATCCTCCTCGCTGCTCTTCTCTTGCTTTACCCATCTCTTTCTTAATTTGAGTCCTTGTTTTCTTTCTCCCTTCTCTGCTTCCTCAGTCACCCCTCCCTCCGTATCTTTCAAGCGCTCACACGCACGCACACGAGCACACACACACTCCTCCCCCATCGCTGCAGTGTGCCCCGACTGCCTTGAAGCTAACGAAAGGGGGAACGGCGCAAAGGCGGTATCGCACACACACACACACACACACACACACATACACACACACACACATACAGGGACACGCATACACACGCGAGCTCAGGCACGCACACTCACCGCCAAAGAGAGACAGAGGGATGAAGATGTCGCTGTACCAGCACTGAGCAAGGACTGCACACTCCGTCTGTGAACCTTGCAAATGTGTGTCGACATATCACCAGAGATGGACGGAGGCCACTGAAACAGTAAGGCAACCTTTATTCTATCTCCTTTTGTCTTCCCTGCTACATGCTAGTAGTTCTCCAAAGGGAAGATGATTTATCTGAGGAATCCAAATCTTTTTCCCCCAAAAATCTGGTAGAATGACTTTGTCCCTTAGCACAAGAACTTCCTGATTATTCTGCTTCTGGTCTTAAGTGTGTATTGTTACTGGAGGCAGAAATGCCAGATATTTTTGTATTCATGGCAGCATAGGCAAACCTGTGATAATAAGCGTTAAAATGATTGCTTCCTGATTAAAAACGCAGCCATTTTTGATAAGTGTGGACTGTGTGTGCACTTTGATAGCTACATGCCAGTACAAGTGTGCATGTCAGACCGTCGACGCCTCGCTGGGTCAGCGTCATAAGTTACCCCATGGAGACACAGCCGCTGTGCGTCCAGCGCTGCTGCGTGCACAGGTGTGCCATACGCGGGGCTGACTGAGCCATAGCCTCCGTGGCAGGAGCTAAATGGGAAGAGCTGCATCGGTATTCCGCTATCAAAAAGGCAGGGAAGTGGAGTGGGGGGTGGCAGGCATGGGTAATAAAGCATCGACAAAAACAAGGATGAAACGAGGAGCGTGTGACCGCGAGCACGAGTGCAGGGAGCAGCAGGAACTGGGGTCGGCATGTTGGCAGGTGAACGGATGGGTAGTGGGCTGGGAGCATCACAGGGACGTTAAGCGATAGTGAAGCGAAAAGCAGCAGATGGACAGCGATGGCCGCCAGTGACTCTGAGGCTTCGATGGCACACAACGGCCTGTTACATAAGAGCAAAATTTCAGCCCTCTAACTATCCAGAAAGCGACGCCTTAGGAGCACGGAAGGGAGGAGCAACAGAGGGTGTCAGCGACTGTTTGCAGCAAGACAAACCGACGGTACCTTGCAACAACTGAAACAGACTCGACATAGCGTGTACGCCCGCCCCGGTACTACCGATTTACCTGCCCTGAGCTTATCACTTAATCTCCCCATGGAACAGCACAGAGCAGCCAGCGTGTAGTGCGACGTGGACCTCTGTTTGGGTGTGCCGGATCCCAAAGACAGCCTTCTACAAAGGTGAACGAGTCACCAGTACGAGTGTCCAAGGCCCACTAGCCAAGGCTAAGGCCCGACTTAGGCAGCGGGAAGGTGGCTTTTTGCAGGAGAGTGGCAGGGTGTCATTGTTGATGGCAGGGAGAGTAACAAGCTGCTGGTCATTTCTGAGTAAAAGCTCACAGCTGGGGATTAAATTCATTACTGCACTGTGCAATCTGTGAGGCGTTGGTGAGATATTCGCAGACTATCAGCACAGGCTCTGTTTAGTGGGTCAGTGGACACTGACCTCATGAGCACACATTACAAAGAGGCATACAGGAAAGACAGTCTAATGCCATTGCGATTTTAATGGATACAATGGTTGGCAGCCATAACCAACACGCCTGGGAGTAGCTATAGATGAATAATAAATAAGGGAGAAAGATACACTGTAATTAAAGTAGATGCACTGCAGAAGCGTACAGCCCAAAATGTAAATGCACTGCAGACAATTTGAAGTACAGACGCTCCTCTACTTACGAACTTTCAACTTACATACGAACGAAGAGGACTATAAGTCCAAATTGTGTTCCTTGGGCTCCCGTTTCCTGTCCGCAACATCAATTTTTTTTTCTGCGCGCCAGTTTCGCCCAGTACAACTTCTGGTCACTATACCCGCCGCGCAGCAGGGTAGTGTGCGTACTTCCAGCATCCTAGTTCTTTGTACCTGCGTATACCCTTAAAATGATGTTGAATAACGACTTACGAACATTTCAAGTTACGAATGGCCGTTCGGAACGTATCTCATTCGTAAGCAGAGGAGCGTCTGTATATTATATTCAAAAATGCAAAAGAAATGGTTTTAATTGCAATCGTGACCTGGAAGAAAATTAATTCTGTGAGAAGCTGTACTGAACTGATGCCTCATGTTCCCAAGCGGTGATTTGTCACCTTCAGCAGACACAGACTTTACAGGACACTGTGTAGCTCTGCTCCATGCAACTCCTCTGAACGTACAGAAGCAGCCTTGGGGCTTAGGTTCCAGTAAGCCAAGCAGTTCCACAACGCCAGTCACTCACAAACCACAAAGATGCAACAACTGAAATCATTGCAACTACATGGAAACAGAGACCATCCCTCAAAGCATTACGAACCACATATTTATTCACAAAACACACCCCCAGAGAATTCACGAAATACACTAGCAGAAAAAAACCACAGCAAGTCCAAAAGTGGTTTTTGAACGTGGGTCACAAACGTCCTGTTGTTGTTTTTGTTCCATTCCATTAAGTGGTTTTAGATTTGCTACTGTATACAGTTTGTGGTCGGGCTGTGTCATATGCCGATTCCCGATTTTTACAGCAGTACCTACAGTCACATGCTTAAGTGGGAAACACACAGCGACACAGGCCCACAGGGTGACATGGGCCCACACAGCAACACGTGCTGGGGCTGAGCTATCTAGGTCACTTGGCCCAGATTGACTGCCATGAACAAATTCATCCAGGACCGAGAGGAAGCAGCTACATGTTTGTGTATCTGCAGATAAATGTATTCAAACAAAAGGCTGTGCAGTGAAGTGAACACTAGACTGGACTGGCACAATGAAAACTGCCCCAGGCGAGATACGTGCCATTATCTGCTGTTTTCTGATGTCGAATCTGTTCCCATGATCAACCTGCTCTGATTAGGCCATGATTAGTCACAGACAAACGATTCAAACAGCATATTGCACAGAAACGAGCTTTCATGTCCTTTTAAAATCTGTCTGGTTTTAAGCAGATGATTTCAACACTTTCTTTTAATGTTATCCCATTGTCAGCTGCCAAAGAATTTCCAAACGCCTTACATATCAATGAGCATGACAAACGTACCTTTCAAATCCCCAGCAACAGCCTCACAATTAAAACTGGGATTTAAAAAGCGTTACTCCTTATATTAGGTATGCAGTATGTGTATCATATGCATATTATGGGCACCTCTGTCTCTAAGCGATTCTGGAGTTGGTGTACAGGGCACGGACCCCGATACCAATGAGCTACAAACATCCTGCAAACGGACGGAGACATTTATATTTGACACTAAATGACAGGTGTCTCACTTAGCCTCTTGCATCACTTAAACTCTGCTGCCAACATCAGCCCTGGAAAATTCTGTTATATTTTCATCTACATGACAATAATCGGAAGACTTCTTTAACACCGTTCTTTACTTTCTTTCTGCTTTGAGACTATCTGTCACTGTTAAGAGGACCTCATCCATCTAGAGAAGCAGAGAGACAGTTTATGTTTATTATGGTCCCTGGGGTTGGGTTATATTACAGGAAAAGATATGGCTGAATTCTCTCCTTGCGGTGGGAGACTAAATGCATTTATTCCATAGCGTCTGTACTCAGGTGCGTGGGTCTCCTTGTGAAGTTCATTATTGAGTTCCCCATCTGTATTGTTTCATGCTGCACGACTTGTCTTTGAACTGTAATAGTATAATGTAACTTTAGCCATGTGCTCCAAATCTCCCTTGGAAAAACTGAGACTGATTTCAGTGGAACTTATCAGGCTTCTTTTTATGTTAACTGAGCCAATGAACGGAAGCTTTTAGGTTTCCCCATATATAAACTGAGGTCTACACCAAATTCGAGTTTGAAAACATCCTCACGATTACCTTTACCACCTCACCTGACATTTGGGCGATAGGATGCTCTTTATTTGGGTGGGGGTCTGCAGAAAGTATCATTTTCATGTAGTGTAATGTGTAAGCCTTCAGGAAAGGTATTATGTTTTAAAAATTAGAAGCATTAACAAATACCAATATACAACAAACTGTCTTGGCACTAGCAAACGCCACCTGCACTACCTTAACTTTGGTAACTGCACCTGCACTAACATAGATTTCGGAAAATGAAAAAAAATGGTAATTGCTGATTGGGGGAGGGACAGGAAATATGGTAAGAAGATACTGATAGATGTTTGCTGAAGGGGAAAGTGCTTCAGTTTGAGCGTATGCAGGGGTGTCTGCCTATGAAAAAATGCATGTTGTGGAACAAGAAGCTTATAGTCTACATACAGTCATTTAGTGTTTGCAAGGTAACATGAATGAGGGTTGGTAAGAAGGCAGCTCAGGGTACTATTACTAAACAGCACTTTGGTACCACAATGAAGTGACCACCATCAGCCTAAGGAACGCTTGTTCTTCTTGGTTTTCCTGGTATTACTATGAAGTCGTTAACTATTAATGCAGGCTTCCACAGCAGGAACCGCCTGTCATTCATGATACCCGCTGACCCACCAGCATGCCGCTGCTGCTGTTTGACATTAATGCAGTGGATTGATTCCCATCCGGTGTTTTGGCGGGCATGCTAGAAGGCACAGACCTACCCCATATGCCCGAATACAAACTGCTGGAACTGTACGTTGTTGAATACCTTGCTTTGAACACTGGACTTTTCCATTAAACCTGTTCTTATTTTTATCTATTTATATTGTGCATTTTATTTTATTTATTTATTTATAACAATAACCCTGCATTTTCCTTTAGGAGCATATCATTCATTCATTCATTCATTTATTCAATCTTTTCTTTCTTTATAGTACTTTAATGATAACTGAGTAATTATATTACATATTTTAGATATTAACTTTCTTTGCTTTGGAGAATACTAAAAATCAGAAAATAAAATAAATAAAATCCAAATATTTGTAAAGGTTTAAATATGTGCTTAATAACTGTAATGACCGCATTTGGTTTGGCTGAATGCATTCATTTTCATCATGAACTCTGGCCTGTGTTAGACTTATCTCTGGATTGCAGAATTAAACTCCACGAGTTATCATCACCTACTCACAGTGATAGGTACCGGCTGTGGTTTACCTTAAAATGCCACAGACCACCCAAAACAGACCATGCCTGCTAAGGTTTTGACACTGTCCTCAGTTAGGTTTTCACAATAGGCTGCTAGTGCTGGAACTGTG